GGGTCTGCACGTGTGGTCCAGACGTACACATGTGTACGTTGCTGACGCAGATGTCCGGGTTTTCAGTGCAGTTCAATTGAGGTCTAGAACCGGTTTTTGAACCCCCTTAAGCCCGATGTGAATAGAGATAAGAAAGGTACATATGTGTACCTTCTGTACCTTTTCAACGAATGTATTTTACGACAACGTTTGTACCTCATAACGTACAAATATGTGTACCTGACTGTACGTTTCTGCTTTGCTGTGTAGGAATGGAAATATTCTGCGGCACTCTCTGTGCCTAAAGAGAAGTTCCAGCTACAATCGATAACATCTTGAGTAAGGAGTAGATACAAAAAGTCAACATTTCCTATTTCAAAAAGGGGATCGAACGTCTGCCATTGAATCGGGTACAGTGCTGTCAGAGAAAGCTTAAGTTTTCCTTAACATTTGAAACTGCACCGCGAAGTCAGTTCCAGCCCGTACAATCACGGTAATGCTTGATCTCATCCAGTGCCTAAGGATTGAGATGAATTCAACTTCAAGGAGAACTATGTAGTCCAGCGGTACGCAAACTTCTTGAGCCGAAGGTGGCATCCGGACGTGACCAACCTTATGCGTGCAGCACTAAAAAAAAATAGCTTACTGGTAATAATATGTTCCTCCTTATTGAAAATTACGTTTCATCTTCGTGGGTTGCATACGAAATCGCTGGCACATGTGGCACGCGGACCGCGCTTTGAGTACCACTGATGCAGTCAAAGCTCTATTTTGCATTATTCTTCGGAAGGATTTGCCGGCTTCGGTGGACCAGATTTTGCTGGAGACGATAAATCCGCGAATGGATTTATCGGGCTGGGAGGACGAGATATGTGGTCTTTTTTTTTTAGGTGCACCCGGAGAGAAGTACGAAGATGTGGGCAGTGGTATATTTTACAGGGGGGAGGGAGGGGTCTACCGTCCCTCTTTCCCCCAGCGTCCCTAGAATGGAACATAGCTCTCCCTTGAAGGTAATATTTTTCTTCCCTGATTTCGCTTGGGTGGGATTTGACGCCCCCGCTCTGCTGCCCCCCCCCCCCCCCCCCCCCCCCCCCCCCCCCCCCCCCCCCCCCCCNCCCCCCCCCCCCCCCCCCCCCCCCCCCCCCCCCCCCCCCGACTCCTCAGCCAAAATACGACACCTGCACTGGATGAGGGGAAGTCGCTTCCGTTTCCAGAACGGTTTCCAGGCGGTAGAAGCAGAATCACTTTACCGTTTCGGTTTAGATTCTGGCAGAAACGAAAATGAAAGAAATGAAACACTTTCAAGGTTTCAAATTGGCTAGAATTATTGTTCCCTTTAGATCCAAGATAATATTCGATGTGGCAGCGACACGAGGAAGAGAAATTCAATGATGACGAGGAGTGAGAGCCGGCGAAAGAGGGACGGACACTCCTTTCCCTTGCGTGGATCCCCTTTCTCCTTCCTCGTCTTCATCCCTAGCAAAAAAAGAATGTCGTTCAGCGAATCGTTCACCATTTCCGTCCATCTAAAGCAGTAACATAAATAAATTTTCGTTAGAGCTTTAGCGGTCACCACGCAACCAGTCCATGAGCGTGTCTTCTTTGCTAGCGACTCTGCTGAGACCTCCAGCATCCGTTGACGTCATGTTAAGGCTAGGCTGCTCAGCGTTCTCGTAGATTGCTAAGTTCCGCTGGGAGCTGCTTGCCCAATTGTGACGTCATTCAATGACGTGGTCGTGCCTAGCCATCGCGTCTTTTTCGCCAGCAGCTGCTAGCAGCTGGAGAAAAAAACGCGCCCAATTTAGAGCAGTGGTGCCCAACCTTTTCGGCTAGGGGACCACATAGCTCACTACCACAGCCATCGCAGGCCAGTCACTAGTATTGTAGGAGACTATTTTAAGGAAACCTAAGGGTATTTATTGTGAGTTAGGGCCTCGAGAACCACTTTTTACCCGCGGGCCACGGGTTGGGCACCAATGATTTAAGGCATCATCCAGCAACAGAACTATATTTTTCTTGATATCATCTCGAGGACACCGTTAGCTCCTCATCCTCATTTTATGGACATTCCACACGAGGCATTTCATGTATGCAATATTGCTTTTGTTTACTGAACGATGATGAACTTCACTGATGGGAGGAGACGTCGCATCGCATACAGTAAAAAGGTCCCTGCTGGCTGTACAGGAAGCTGCCCCAACTTCATGAGATCATTTTGAAAACACATTTACTTTCTAGAAGGAATAAATGGCTTCTGCGTGACATGTGATTGTTAGGCAACAAGTCAATTTTTTGTTATGTGAAATATGACCATTTACATCGGTCATTTACATGGTTAATGCATTATCCGATCGGAGGGTTTCATTTGTGGAATGCCCGAAAGGAAATTTCCCTAAAACACCCACGAGAACCTGAAAAAGATTGTTCCAAGTTCCAAAGTAGCTTACTTGATGTTGGGGGGGAGGAAGTTGAGGGCTGGAGCGCGGCCATTTCCCTTCTGAATCTGGTTCTTCGCATGCTGCTGTTTCTTGGCGAGGTTGGCGGGTATAGGCAAGTTGGTGAGTTTCATCGGGACATCGGATGCAGAAATAACATGAAGGCAATCTCTCAGCCTAAGCATCTCCGAGACTCTTTCTTCCACGGCACCCAGGACGACATGCACGTTCCCGGCAGTCACTTCCAATGCTCCTCCTGGTCGTTCATATGTACGGAGTTCCAGCATTTTCCAAGAATTACGATATTTCAAGGTGTTGCTTTTCCGTGCCAAACCGAACGTGAAAATATGAATCGGAATTCGAGGATCGAACCATTCAATTGGAAGCTCAAAACATCTGAATATTTCTCATATCAAAGCTACCATCAATGTAACTCACCCTTCAAAAAATAACATTTTACAATCGAGCATTATAAAACCTGTGAAATTAAGATGCCTGGAATGTGAAAACTTGATCATTTCGTCGAAATGATCATTTTTAGTTACTTGAAAAGTATGCTGGCGTCCAAAGGAAACGTTACTAGGTAATTCCTGACTCGCCCCCGCAGTAGAAGTTGTGATGGCATTATATCGGTCTCCTAATTAGGTTTTCTCCATCCCATATGTAAAGTTCAAATTTCCAAAGACAAAATATGGGCTGATTCCATTGTGCATGTCCTACCGTCTCCGAAAAACATCGGAGATATGCCAAGGCTAACGCGGACGAGCTTTAAATTACCTTGTAACGTTTCTTATGGGAGCTAGTATATTTAGACTGCATAAAAGACACGTGAAGAAGCGTAAAAATACCCCTGATGAGCTGAAGGAGAGGAGAGTGGGTAGCCCCAATGTCCTGATGGAGAACCTTCACCTTTTCCAACACCAGATCTAGTAACTTTTGAGAGGAATCTCTCTTCCGGGCTATCTCCTCCGTCTCCGCCTTCACCACCTTCACTCGATTCTGTAGGCATTCCCGAAAATGAAAAAGCAGACCATTATTTTCCTTCCAACTGCTGAACAAGGAGAAGGATTTAGCACCGAGTTTTCCAGATTCAGGATGCAAGAGCGGTTTCTCAAACGCATCAATCATTTTCACTTGAGTCTACTTGCATCCGTCTCTTTCTACACGAAGATCAATATGTTGGATGATGCTCTATTTTGTTTTCCTGTATGGTCATATCTGACCCTTATGAAGGATCAATATGATGGGGGCGGGACTGAGAGGGTGTACCTATTGGACTAATGGTGAAAGCCTTAGCAATGGACTCTTCCAGACCGAGTGCCTTCATACGAATGACGAACATCATACTTCGTATTTTTGTAGTTTTCCAGGACAAAGCAACGATCCTGCCAAATAGCATCTCGGAGTGGGATCGGAGGGGAAGAAGGGGGCGAAGTGGGGACGGTCGTTTTCTTGGCCGTAATCCAACACTCCTTTCAAGAAACTCAGGCCCGAATGCACAAACCTCATTTAAGGGAGATGAAGTGGGCTTTAAGCTAAGAGCTCTTTCCTCCACCCTCATAGGAATCCATGTATTCCTAAAAAACCGTTAACTAAAGGTTTCAGCCTTAGGGCCTTATTTTTCTTACCTAAAAATTTGAGTCAATGTTATTTTAAGACTGTATTCTTGGCGAGACTGGAAGAAAAATTAGCAAGTTGAGGTAACAATACATTACAGGTTCCTCCTGTTGCGCTCCACCTTACTTCCCTTGAAGTTCCCCCCCCCTCCCCCTACCCTCCTTTGTGACTTTCTTCGTGTATTACACGCGTGAAGAAGCGATGAGGGAAAGGCCAGCGCCAGAGCTGGGATTGTGGTCTCTACGAGCATTCGCGAGAATGATTGCAAAATCAACTCATTCCTCGAAGTCAGCGATCAGGAGGTTATGCAACCCTGTATTAACAGCGAAAATGATTTTATACTTACGGGAATGCTTGGCTGTCCATGAGTTAAATTCGCAAAGCTGTTTTCTCTTTATCATGAGAAATTTATTCCGAGACGGGACGCATGGATTCGCGAATGAAGCTCATTCGACTCAGTCTGGAGGATTAGGGGGTGTGCAAAGGAACTCTAATACAATGACTATCACAGGTTGGCTATGCATCAAGTCTAGGGAGCTCAGGGATTTTTCCTAGAAAATTTTCTTCAAAATACTCATCTTTCACGGTCCTAAGGAAGAATTTTTATGAATGCCAAGGAAATGACACATCGTCTGAAATATATTAATAATAAGTTAAATCAGTTTAAATTATGCACTCGTAACGCCACTACAGTTAACACCCATCAAATGAGGGGGGAAAAAAGACTTTGCCTGAACTCGGCGGGAGTTCCCAGACGACTCCGCGTTTTACATTTCTAAGTCTCGGCCTTATTTCAGCGTTCTTAATGTTCGATGGACATTTTATGGGAAAAAAAGTGATCTCATTTTCCTACCTCCATTTCGTGACGTTTGGCTGCGCGTTGTTCCTCGGCGGCAGTGCCGGATTCCTGAAGCCGGACGATGTTCCCACTCATCTGTCGGATCTCCTCCTGGGAACCAGCATTCAATCGTTCCTCATCATCATACTATCGTCGTGAAGAAACTCATTCAAATCAAGTATGTTTGTCTTCCCTCGCGGTATTCATTCATTTGAATGAATACCGTGAGGAAAGACTTAATACAAATGTAGTCCTTCCATTCCAAAATGAAATAAACTCATTTAGTGTTTCAATGACTAATTTAAAATAATTTAATACGTTTAAATGTCTTTACTTGCCGTTGCTACCAAACACTCATGAATTTCTTCATTCCCTAAATATCTACGGGATATTCTTACATGCGGTTTCACTTTTTTTATCAGTCTCATGCATCGTTTCCCTGTCGGAAATCATGAGATCCTTTCACTCTAGTAAATATCATGAATGTGTCTCTTGCCGCGATGCTTCGACATTGAATCTAGCCGATCATACATCGGAGACAGGTGACGGCATTTCTTATTTCGCCTGCTGGCGGTATGAAAACGAACGAATACAAGAGGTAGAGATTAGAGAGAGTAAAGGTAGAGTAAAGGTTGGCTCTGCGGAACCTGTTCGGCACAATGGGGTATTCTCTTTTTTTTTTCCATCTGACTTCGTCCGGGAGGAATTATTTCCGGAAACGTGATCAACCTGCGAGGCTCAATTGGGAAATTTAGTCTGACATCAGAAGGGGCTTTAAATTCACAAGGTTTTCGCCGTTGAAAAATGGCCAACATTTTTCGCATGAAAAATTCACGCGATACCATGAAAGAACAAAATGGATGGAAATTATTTCAAAATCCTGAGAAATAACTGCATTGCTGAGAGAAGGCGAATGAAAGGGTTTCAGCGTCGGATGGAAAAAGTAAAGAAGGAAGACTTCCCGTCCCTTGAAGACGTGAACCGACCCGAAGGACACTTAATGTCTACTTTTAAAATCGATGCATATGAGGCATTTCGTCCGGCGTTTTCTCGCGGAATCTGGCAACAAGTAAAGGTACCTGAAGGGCGGCAGCTTGAGCGCAAAGCTGATTGATGTAGACGTAGAAAGCCATGTTCTGTTCGTCCCTTCGAAGGAAGGTTCTCCTGATGTCCTCGGGAGAAGTGGTGACCCCACACGATTCCATTAAGTCTTGGATCACCCCTCGTAGGTCGGAGAAGGTGAGGCGCTCCTCCTCCACCACCTCTTCTCCCCCTCCTCCGTCTGCCACGGGAAGCGACGAGAACAAAAACGATTTCCAGCACGCTTACATACCACGTCAAGAATCATGTCAGCCGAAGGACGGAAGACCCATAAGATCAATTCTCATCGAGTAAAAATGGGTGATTTCTCCATGTAGGAATTTTTACTAAACTCACAAAAGAGACGCTTCTCCTATAGTTTATCGGTTGCCATGATTTTGGAAACTTTCAACTAAGAAAAGTGAGCTTTCAACTGCCGGTACTCTCTCCGCGGTTGTCGTACGGACGGTTTCTATTAATTTTTTTTTTGCCTTTTCACGAATCGGCTTCTTGTTCGTTTTAGAATGACCGATAAAGCGAAGAAGACAAGACAGCCTTGCATTTGGCTGGCGGCCGAAGGCCTACGACGGGTTCCTATGCGCGGAGCACAACTCTGAGCAGTACTCGCCAAGATATACATTTCGCGCCCCATGCAATCCACTCATCCGCACGGATAATTGAGTGAGGGTACGAGGCGAAGGTAAGGAAGGAGGAAGGAATCGTTCAGCTTATTCATCTGCGACCAATGTAATTGAAGGGCGCAGGTACGACGGTGGCTACGAGATGATGACGGACCGAAACGTCGTTTCGGGTGTCACTTCCAGCATCGTCATTTTCAGGATTCGACATGTTTTATCTATATCGCGTCATCCTTGAAAAAAATGCTATACACAACATGAAGAGTTTAAATTTCACTCATGGACTCCCTCTACGTGTTTGTTCAGGTGGGACACCCCAGGCAGGACACCCCCACCCCCTTTTACATTGGAGTGTTAACCCTATTTTCTCTGTGAAGATTCATCCTTGCCCCTCTAGTACCAAATTTTATCATGCTCAACTTCTTCTGGGTGTTACAATTCCGGTTGGGACCTGTGTGTTTCCTCGAAATGACGTGTTCCCTTCCCATTCGGCCAAACGACGTTGTGTCATCGTCGATCGAGGATTGCAATTTTGCCTTAATGTCGCGTAAAAGTTTGATCAAATGCCACCGCAATGCTGAAATTAAATACATTTAAATGTTGAAAATGCGCTCATGTCACGTTGTGTCAGCATTGAATCGTCAATGCATTGGTCCTACGTCGTTTCCTGATATCGAAGATGCGCAGATAAAATAATGATCTCGTATCGTTTCAATCTTTTTTATACCTCTGAGAGCGTTAAAGTATTGATACTCTAGCAAGTACTACCTTCTCCGCGTTGATTCCATGTGATGCTGTCAATTCCTTTACTAGTTCAGAATCCTAGATGAGTTCTTGAATGACACTCCTAATTCTATCTCACAAAGGAGTTACGTGTCTGACATCAACCCCAGATTTGTCTCCTTCACGGGAGAAGACCAGACACACCTTTGCAGTCCGATCTCTCGTCTCCGTAAGAGATATGACAACTCAAACCCAGTATACACGCCATGTAGAGTTGTCGGAAGTTTGGACATATTTCCTCGGTCCCCCGAGTCATAAGTACCTGGAGCCTCCTTCCTCAATGTTATCTCTTTAATTCAGTGGTTCTCAACCTTCCTTTTACTCCCATTGAACCTTCATGCATTCGGGGGGGGGGGGGTGACACCTCCCAGGTTGAGAACCACTGCTTTAAATGGATCTATCCAGGAATTCCAAGGCCTTCTAAGTTGTACGTGGGATCGGGCACAGCATGAAAAATGACAGGAACTCATTCCAATGGCATCGGGATGAGAATCCCCAAATCAGCTGTTAGGTACCATCTCGCGTCGGCTTGTAGAACCTATTTTCTGTTGAGGCAACGTGGATTAACTCCATGTTGAAATAACATTAAGGCTATGGCGAAGACAAACGTGGAAAATGAATTTGCACTTAATAGCCCCCAAACTGCTTCACTAGCCCTAGTACATATGTTGAAACTTTGATTACGAATAGCCGGCATTTCATTGCCGTTGATTACTCACTGAACTTCGCTGTCAACTTCAACCATCGCGCAAAATTTCAACCTTAAATCAATTATGACACAATGTTGTTGTGGCAGATGAATAGCTTGTTTTGACCGATCAATTTTGGTCATGACGAAAATACTCCGTTCTGTACGAATCGTAGCAACCCAGAGACTAAATCTGTGTCGGAAAATAGCAGTAAAACGGCGTTTACACGACCGGAGACGAAGCCTGGAGATCGAACGGAAGGGAATTTCGATAGGTGACGCACCGGCGACGACGGGATGTCGACGGGGGAAGCGGGAAGCAGCTTTTTGGGCGATGAACCGTTCCATCTTGCGCTGGTGTGCCAGGAACCGTCGGAGATGTTGCATTTCCGCACCCACCGCCGCACTCTCCTCCGCCTCCGTCGTCCGAAGGGATCGCAGCCGCGTCTCCATCTCCTCCCTGAAATCCACACTCGCCGGCTCCATACGGTACGTCATTTGCAGCGGGTTACGGAAGCACCAGTTCGATGGGAAGCCTTCTTCCACTCGGGAGTCTCATCGGGACGGGACGAGACTCCCGAGCGTGGAAGTTCTTGAAATTTTCAACATTCAAGCTTCTCCTCTTATCATTCCCTCATCCTCGTCCTCCGTCAAGGATTCGTATTCGCGAAACGACAACGTAATGCGTCATTTTCACTTTGCTGACGGGAACACTCGCGTTTCCTCCCAAGCAGCATGTTTACGTAAACAAGATATCAATTCCTTGCAAACAATGTAAATTTATTGCGATTGCCATGAAAATGACATCACGTTTACGTAAAATTTACGTTCCTACATTTACGTCACCAAAGTGTACGTGTATTTTACATAAACTAGACGTGACTCCATTTGACGTGAAGTACATATCAAGTTTATGCAAAATTAACGCCACACCATTCGTATGAAACTTTAGCTGACCATCCCGCAGTTGCAGTACCAAGATTCCTCACTAGATGGAACCCTTGTTCCCTGCATCCGACAAATACTATTAAGTACTGGCTTTCCTGATAGAATATTAGATTTTCTTACCATCCTTCCACTTTTCATTATGCAATCCATGAATATATGTATGGAAATCATGAAATTATTATATATATTTTTATAATATATGACTCCAGGAATCATTAAATGCTGAAGTTAAGTTTTTTATTACAGCAGTGCACAGAATTAGGGAAGAGTAGAATCCCAGCTCTACAAGTACTACATTTTCTCTACCCTAAATGGGAGAGAGCTCCTTGAACATCTACTCCTCCTCCCGAGGTTTCAGTACGGGAGGAGGAAGCGGTAGGTCGTTTTGGTACTATTTAGTGCTGATGAGGATGAGTGTACTCATCCAACCACTCTTGAGTTCTGAAGTGTGGAAGGGAATGGGAGATACAGTATATCAGTTATTTTCAAAGGTGCTGTTTGGCTCGTTAAAGACACATGAATGCTAGAGGGAAAGTAACATAAATCTTACGTAAAATCAACGTAAAAATACTGTTAGGAATGCAAACTGGCATGTCAATTTTACGTGAAATTGACGTTAATTTTATATCACCGTTTACGTATCACAGAGGTGACATTTCTGCAAACATGTTGGCATTATCTTGACAATGGTTTGCGTAAAAATGATATAAAATGGACAAAAAATTTACATTCAGTTTACGTAAAATTAACATAAACATGCTGTTTGGGCTCTTTCTTGAGGGCCACTAATAACGCAGCGCCAATGGCGTCAAATATTTTTTTAGCGAGCGTGCACAGTGTGAGACAGGGACACACGGAGAGATGCATCATTCATCTCTCATTCGATCGACGCTCATGTCAGCTCGCGATGAAATCAGGCACTTACGTCACTAGATTCCTGTCATTTACATTGCAGCTAATTCAAAGGACCGAATCGTGGGAGAAGTAAATATTTCCAACGCGTGAAACTTGTACGTCCTCCAACCTCTAGGGGCTAAGTGCATTAACACTTGAGGGCTCTGCCAGTCCCGGGGAATTCCCCATTAGCAAAACTATCTTTTCTCTCCTTTCCCCTCTGCCAGTACAGCCATCATCGATGAAAAAATCATGGAGCTTCAAACTGAAGCCGTTCCAGTGCACACAGTTCCACGCAGCTAGATTCGTTACCGTACGATATCTTTTCAAATCGGCACAAGGCCATCCTTCCGTGGGTCTGGATCGCCGCGCCAACCGACTCCATCTCTACTCGTCCGCGCGGTGGCGCGTCGAACACGGTTACCGTTGATTGAGGGCGTCGGAGACGAGGTCCATCTTGGCCTGGAGTGACTTGCGTCCCTGCAAGAGGGCCGTTTCAAGGATCCGACACTCCGCGTTGTGAGCCGTCTTCTCCGCCATCAACTCGGCGATGCTCTTCCGTAGCTCCTCGTTTCTCTTCAGCTGCACGTTCAGCGCCTGCGATACCTAGCGGGGATACGGGAATGCATCACGAAAGTTTCTCTTCGTCGGCTCCAAAATCATCAAATGTGTTTTTTTCAGGCAGCGATGCATTGGCATCTCCGAATGCTATGAGCCTGACAGCGCCACGATCTAGCGATGCAATCGTAATAAAATGGAGGTACACAAGAGCAAAATAATATGGCAAGAAAGAACTGGACGATGTGACATTTCTAACAGAGATGAAATAGATGAGATAAAGATTTTATCAGTCAGCCAAGGAGACCCCCAAGTAGCACGTTGGTGGTGGGCCACCAGGTGCATGTCCCGCCATCTTCCGGGCCACTAGAGGGCTAGGACATCACCAGTTAGCTCGTTAGTGATGCACTATCAGTTGTGAAGGGACCTAATGCTCTCAGGCACATCCGATTCGCTTATAAAACTTGGAGCTCTAGCCAACTCAAAAAAGTCAATCCAAGAGTACCTCCACGACCCACTGCTCTCCTCTTCCGCATCCAGTACGGAACTCTTCGTGGATGAGCAGGAGTCTACGAATACCGTGTAATACCATACACGAAAATCAAGCACTCTACCCTTTCCTTGTCCCGTTCCCCATACAGCCCCTTCAGCATTTAATAATTCTCCGAGTCTTATATTGCAATTAAATCAAAAATTCTACGCTTCCCTTATATCTGCTTTTAAATTGCACAATAAAAAGAGAAAAGACGGAGAAGATACACTTTCGCTAAATCAGGAAGGCAGGTACTTTATTGCAGTAAGGTGCAGGGAACATGGCTACCACCTAGTGGGGATTCTTGGTACTGCATCTGAGGGAGTGCCAGTTACATTATAAGAAGGAAGCTGGTGGTCCTCCACTTACACTAGGTAGCGGGTCAGCAACTGCACGTCCAACTTGCCGCCACGTTCCCTCCCCCAGCAGAAATCCGCCAGCATTATGTCTGGGCCGCCTATGGCCCACTACTTTAGTGCTACTGGGGGTGTATACCAATGACGTGATTACCCTTCGAGTCCCACCCCCCGCTGGGATGTAGTTTAGAAGAGTAGACCTTGTCTACTCTTCTAACCTGGCTCGAAATGATCTTTTTCTAAGTCAGAAAGTCCTCCAAAAAAGCCCTCCTGAAAGGGCTCCATTCCGTTTCCTCAAGTATCGATGGGAGATCCTTCTCCTTTAAGCGATCCCGATCAGTTTCGATGTTATTTTTCCACTTGTTCGAACATGTGTCCTTTCATTTCTAAAGTCGATGAGCGATGATCGGAGTGGATCGAATTTTAATAAAGTTTTGACAGTAGATCCATCCAGTAATAGGCACGTAACGAGTTTGTGCGCATGACAGGTTTCATTCGATATGAAAGAACGCAACGCATGAAGCTGCCATTTCCTCAACCCATTATGGAAAAGCCATATCCCCGATGCAGCACGCGATTACCATTTCGATCGCAGGCAAGTCCAATATTGCGTAGCACTTATATCGCAGCCGTTACGAGCGACCCATTCCGTGAAATGTGGCTTCTCCCTGGGGGGGAGGGGGGGAACCGATGTTGTGAGGCTACGAGCCTCAAGAACATTCTTCCAACACTGGATAGATTTATACCAGAAGGCTGCCAGAGGAGAGAGGGATCGACGATTCTCTCATTTCTAGAGGTTCCCTTGCACGACCGCCTCCGGATCGACCAGTAGGAGTCCCGGGCGCATGGGCATTCCTCACTTTGTGACTTTCGAATCCTTGATCATCGTGTCCTTCGTGTTTTTAATAGGAAAAAATATATTTGTGTGAAACTATGCATCTGCACCGTTTCGATGCCTAAGAATCGCTTTTGCCAATAAAGCAGCAGTCTTGCAAGCTTCTTTGCCAACCGTTGTGACTCAACTTTCCTCCTCGCTTTTATTTTATCGTTACATGTTATCTCGTGCGTGATGCATGAACCGCTATTACGACTCAAACTCTATACTCGACCCATCGACTCCAAAGAAGGGCTCCTCGCTTCATGTCCACCCGTAACCATGAGGTCTTCCCATTGGTAATGCATTTGCGAGGTTACCGGCGCCTTCGTCGTGACCAAAAAAGGTCGAGGACAGTTCGTTGCGGACATTAAGTCGCAAGTATCTATGGTTGAAGTACAGTTTCGTCGCAGATACCGATGGTCGCACTTCCCTTGTCACGAGGGCATGTCATGGCGGAATCATATGGTAACGTCTGAACCCAAGCAAGGCACTTGCGGACTCCCTGGATAAGAGTTCTAAAATGCACCTGTCGTCAATCGCAGCTCGTGAATAAGTAATCAGGAGTCAGGAGTCAAGAGAGTTAGTGATATCAAGAGGCGATTTCGCCCATTTCGATATCACGTGTCGAGGTCGAGCGTTCCTTAATTTTAGGGTAGGCCTAACCCACTTAAAGCTAAATATTTTTGTATTTTTTTATTATATTATATTCTAGTTGCTTACTGTCTAGTACCTACGTCAACATTGCCCCCCACCCTTTTGCCTGTCCATGAAAGCATCTAGTTTCTTCTTAAAGATAGTCACAGAAGGGGCAGCCACTACTTCGTCATCTAACGCATTCCACGCGTTCACCACTCTGCAAGTAAAGAATTCCTGTCTCGACCTGAGCCGCACCTGCGGTTTGCGCAACTTAAGTCGGTTGCCTCTCGTTCTCTTGCTGTCATCAAACTGGAA